ATCTTTACATCTGTATATCGTCATGCAACCACCACCCAAGATCAAGACACAGAACATTTCCTGAACCTCAGAAGCTCCCTCGGGCCTCCTCTCAGTCAATTACTCTCCAGAGGTGAGCACTAGTCTGACTCCTCTCACCCAATTACGCCCAAACACTTGAACTTCACATAAGTAGAATCAAACAGTACAGTCTTTACTGTCTGGCTTCTTTTATTCAACTCTGTATCTGTGAGACTCACCCATATTGCTGCATGCATGCATCCGCAGTACATTTTTTTAAAAATCACTGATGAGAATTCCATTTTATAAATATACCAGTTTATCCAATCTTCTGTTAATGACATTCAGACCATTACAATTTGTAGATAAATATAAACAGTGCTGCCATGAATAATAATCTTGGGTATGTCTTTTTGGTGGAAATATTCATCTGCAGATTGGCAAAGTTTTTGCTTGGCTAGGTTTTGGGACGACAGGGTTACTAATAAACACCTTAGACTGGTCAGGATGCAGGGAACTAGAAGTGGGCACCGCTGGTGAGAGTATAAATTAGAATAACCTTTCCTTTCTGGAGGAAAATCTGGGTGTTGGGGCACAAGAGGACTGAACATGTCTGAGCCCTGTGACTAATAATTCTACTTCAAGGAAACTTCTTATTGAGTACTTACACGTGCCGGATCGTCTTCCAAGTGTTTTACATATAATAACTCATTTGATTTATTCTAGGGAAATAATTAGAGACACTTGCAATGGTCTGTTTAAAATGCCAACTATCCATCAGTAGAAAATGCAAGAAAAAAGTAGTAAACAAGGTAAAAAACTAACAAGGGGGAATGGCTTTAAAATGTTTTTACTCCTGAGAAATTAAACATTATGAAGTGAGGTGACAGTGGAATGCATAAAATGAAATCCAGTTTGCGTTCCATCTCTGGAAGATATAGGTACCTTCTCCTATGCTTGATACTTTTCTGTATTTCCCATTTTTTCTACAGTGTATTACTTTTTTTTAAGATTTTATTTATTTTTAGAGAGAGGAGAAAGGAAGAAGAGAGGGAGAGAAACATCAATGTGTGGTTGCCTCTCGCGCGCCCCCCACCGGAGACCTGACCCACAGCAGGGGCATGTGCCCCAACGGAAATCGGATCCACGACCTTTTGGTTGACAGGCCCACACCCAATCCACTGAGCTACACCAGCTGGGACTAGTGTATAACTTTTGTCAATCAAAAAGTACATGCCTAAAAAGTCTAACAAACAAAGGTATTTGCAGTCAAATAGAGAGAAAAAAGACATTAAAATAAAATTTAACTAGGGCAATGGTGCAGTTTCGCACATTAGTGTGCTATGGGAAGACATCTACCTTGACATTAGGGGGTGGGGCATCATCAGGAAAAGCTCCCTGCTGTCTTACTTCCGAGGACTCAGAGAGGAAGAACTTCATCTCTAGGTTGGGAGGAACGTTCCCAGGGAAATCCTGTAAATTCCTCAGCTCACAGCCCTAGGCCTAGGGTATCAATTACACATTGCACAGAGCAAGTGTTCTTTTTCCCCTCTCACGTATAAAAGAGGATTGGGCAGAAGGAGGGATGGGGCTCCGGAATATTAAGGCTACAAAGTCCAACAGCCTCCAACCTGGGGGGGTCTGGCTCCATCCACCCCGCCAAAAAGCATCAAGGAAGGGCCCTCCTTCCCCATCAGAATAAATTAAGGCAAAAAAGCTTCTCAGGTTTTCAGATGTCAGGAACTCCAGGCAGAGTAAACCCAAATTTATATCAAAATTCACTGATTGCTTGAGTTTAAAGAATTCTACTTGAATAATAAAATTATCAAGAAATTATGCAGGTAAAGGCAATCCTCTGTGCCCACCCACCTCCTCTCTCCCTCCCGGGCAAATGGACCACCCCTGGAAACCAAGGGAAAGCTGAGCCTGGGAATGAAAGCCCCATCTTAGTACTTTACGGGCCAATTCTCACATAAACAAGTGATATTTGTTTAATAATTAATACATAACAAACATTTTGCTGTGTTTAAAAAAACACACTCATTTCATGATACAGCGAACATTAAATATTTATCACAGGAAAAACACACAGACCCCAAATTACCAATTGTTCATTAAGAATTAGCCCTGGCTGGTGTGGCTCAGTGGATTGAGTGCTGGCCTGTGAACCAAACAGTCGTGGGTGTGATTCCCAGTAAGGGCACATTCCTGGGTTGTGGGCCAAGTCCCCAGTAGGGAGCGCCAGAGAGGCAATCATACACTGATGATTCTTCCCTCTCTTTCTCACTCCCCTCCACTCCCTAAAAATAATAAATAAATTCTTTTAAAAAAATGAAACAAAGAAACAAAAAGTTAAACTTGCCACTAGGACATTGCTTTGGCACAGCAAAGCAGTATCCCTAAATTTTCTAATTTCTGACACCTGAAACTGCATTAAATTCTGAAGGACTGCTAGAAACACACACACAAAAAACCCTGGGTTCAAAAAATATATTTCAGAGTCACTTCCACAGATACGAAGTGGCACAAATTTATGTGACAAAGCAGAGCATGTTTGCTTTGGCCTCACTCTCTCTCCCTCACATATGCCCTCTTTATTTTCCCTTCAAATTCTCCTGTTTTCAAATCGGTACCTAAATGCATCACAAAATTTCTCTATGAACTACCTGTAGCTCTTCGTGGTTACAGTGTTAAGTGACCCAAACAAGATAAATAAAATTCTACCTGAGATTTATTAACCTATCAAATCTCTACATTGCCCAATTGAACTAATTTCTTATGCAGTTAAAATAGTACTTTGAAATATAAGCATTTACATAATCACCAGGGATTCTGGCTTTATTTTATATGAAACCTAAGCTTTTGGATAATCTCTACTCTGGCTGCCTAGGGTATGTTACAGGAACAGAGGGATGTAGAAATAGAATTGGCAAGATCTGGTATGCTCACATTTCAATTTTACATATAATCGAAATATAGATAAACATCAGTTTGGAGCAATGAAAAAATTGGGATAATTTACTCTTTTTTTTCCTCATCCAAGGATATGTTTTTACTGATTTTTTTTTTTAAGAGAGAGAGGAAGGGGGGCTGAGGGGTAGGGGAGAGAGAAGGAGAGAAGGATAGGGAGAGGGGGAGAGGGGAGAGAGAGAGAGAGAGAAACATCTATTGGTTGTTTCCAGTACCCGTCCCAACCAGGGATGAACCTGCAACCTAGGCATGTGCCCTGACAGGGTATCCAACTTCAACCCCTTTGGTGCTCGGGACGACGCTCCAACCAACTGAGCAACCCGGCCAGGGCTGGATTATTTATTTTTAATTACACGTGTCAAGGTTGTAGAAATATTCCCCAACCACAGACCAGACTGTTAAAGATTATCTGATATAAAAATAAGGACACTTTTTTTACAGGCACAATATGTTGAATTTTTCCTCTGTCGTTGCTGTCAGAACTGTGCAAAATGAAAACTAACGGTACTTGGAATTTAAGTAAAACTAACTGTACCTAGCATTAAACACCGAAAGAACGCTGTAATTTAAATGGTTTTCTCTCCCAGGGCCAGTAGAGGGAGACTACGATATCTGGCCTGGTCGTGTAGTGTTTCTGTAAAATTGGGGAGGGGGGGAAGCAGAGGCTGTATTTAAATGTCCTGCTGTCAATCAAAGGACACTTCCTACAATCACAGTCACCATATCTGCTATTACCCGTGAGCGTGCTCTTGCCAAGATTCAACACCAAACGGTGCCCGGGAAACCTGCTTCATCTAAAGGTGACCGCAGGCTTTCCCACAACACCCAAATAAGGACTTTGGGAGCCCAACCCCAACTAGTTTCTTTGTTTAAATGCCTGCGAATCCCTCCCACGCCGGAGTCAAGAGGCTGTGGCGCCGCCCTTTATTAGCCTCACACTTTGATTACAAAACACACGAGTCGGCGGCCTGGCGGCGGAGGCGGCCCGAGCTCTCACAAACGTCAAACCCGAAACGCAGGCGGCGGCTGAGGCACAGGGCGACGCTCTCCGCCCCCGCCACCCGAGCCAAAGTACCCACCGGCCGGTGAAAGTTGCCCGCACCGGGCCCCGGGCGCCAGCCCTACGCCGCCTGGGTGTCGCCAGCCCCTCGGGCGACGGGAAATTTCACTCTTTGTAAAGTTTGAGCGGCGGCGCGGGGGCGACGCGGAGGGTTTGGGACCAGAGGCTGTCCCTTCAGGCCCCGCTGCCCACTCCATCCGCTCTGCCCCCGCCAGGACAGGGTGTGCGGGCGCTCTGGGTGGGGGTCAACCCCCGAGCCGACCTGCCGCCCAGCCCGGGACCCCCAGCCCCAAACTTCCGACTGGCATCTTTTAAGTCCCCGACAGTGCCTCATCTGTTGCTCTGTTTACTCCGCGGAGCCCCGCCGGGCTGGCGCTGCCGACGCCCCCATCCCTGCGCCCCCGGCCGAGGAAGTTTGATAAAGACCCGGGGAAGGGGGCGCGACGGGAATCTGCCGGGGGAGGGGACGAGGGTGATTTCTTAAGACCCTGGGCTGGGCAACCCGGTCGCTGCCGGGAAGGAAGGCGCGGCGGCCGGCGGGACAAGGCGGCCGGGCGGGCAGCGACTCCCGGGCGGGCGGGGCGGCAGCCGGGCTGCGGGCGCCGCGAGGGGCGGCGGGCCGGGCCGGCGCTCCGCCCGCCACCTGCGCCGGCGCCTGCCCCGGCCGCGTCTCCTCGCCCCGGTCTCCGCCTGCCAACTTCTCGGCCGGCCCCCTTTGTTCCCGTTTGTTGTGGCGACTCTTCGCCCGGCCGAGCGATCCCACCAGCCCCCCTTAGTCCGCCCGGCGCCCGGCGAGCCCGGGGCCCCGCGCGTCCCGCTGCCCGGGCCGGGGGCTCGGTGCCCGAGCCGCTGGGCGGTCGGCGCGGCGCGGCGGCCGGGCGGAAGGGGATGCGGGCGGCCGGCCCGGCGACGGCGGTTGGCCGGGGGCCGGCGGCGACGGCGGCGGCGGGGCTGGAGGGGGTTTATTTACCTGCCGTGGAACCAGTCCTTGCAGATATCGCACTCGATCATGAAGCGGTTCACGTCGTACGGCTGCCGGCACACACAGTACACCGGCGGGGGCGGCGGGGGCGCCGAGGCCCGGCCCGGAGCCGCCACCGACACTGCTGCCGCGGCGGCTCCCGCTGCTGCTCCCGCGGCCACCGCCGCCACCGCTCCGGCCATCTTTAAAAAACACACACACGCTCGCTCGCTGCTCCGCTTGCCGACTGGAGCGAGCGCAGCCGCCAGCCAGCGCCGCCTCCTGCAGCAGCCGGAGCAGCAGCCGAGGAGGCAGCGGCGGCGCTTAAGTGCGCGCGCGCGCGAGGCCGCGGGCCGGGGCGGCGGGGGTGAGCGGCGCGCGCCCGACGCGCGAGGCCCTGGCCCGGCTCCTTCCGGCGCTCCGCGCCGGGGCCGAGCGTCTCGCGCACGTCGTCCAGCCGCCTGCGCGCGCGCCCCGCTCCCCTCGCGTCGGCCGGGCGGAGGGACCCGCTGAAGGGCACGGGGGCGGGGGAGGCGGAGGGAGGCCGAGGCTCCCTGAGGACACGCACGGTGGCGCAGGGCGCGCGGACCCAGGAGGGCGGTGGGTGCGGGAGACGAGCCGGCTTCGGCGCTTTCCGATGAAAGCGAGGCCGGGGAAGTTCCTGCGCAGTGAACAGCGGCACACGCTGCGTCTGTGCTCGGAGGAGGGGAACCGAGGAAGTTAGAGCCCCGGCCAGGGCCACCTCCCGACGGGGGAGAGTCAGACATCAATTAGCAGCCGCCCCGTGACCTCCGTGGGACCAAGCCGAGGGCTAACAGCACGCAGAGCTGGTTATGCCCCGCTGGGGTGCAGGAGTGTGCTGAGGGGTGGGAGAGTGAGGGTCATGCAAACTTTGAAAACGGCCCACCCGAATTCCCACCAACCAGCTCAGAAATCAAAGTGTGGATGGAGCCTGTGAGGTGAAGGAGGTTGTTCCCAAGAGGAGTTCTTTAATGTCTGCGAGCGGAAAGGGACCAGCCTTGAAATGTGGTTGGTGGAGAAACAACTGGAGAGGAACCCCGCGAATTTATAAATTACATGACTTAGATGCTAATGCTTTTGAGTCGCAAGTGTGGAAGCTAGGGATAAAGTTCTAAATGACGGTGACACCTCAGAAAGGGATACTGCAAAAATAGAATAATATGGTACTTGGCATGTAATACGCCATTAATAAATATTTTTGAATGAAGGATGGGATTTATAAGATTATAAACAGGTAACAAATATTGACCAGAAAGAGGTTACTTTGAAACCATGAGTATGCAGATTGGAAGGAATGTTAAAGATTTTTGAATCAGATATTTGTACCTGAATTTCACAAGCATTTCTATCATTGGGAAACACCCTATAGTTCCCATCTTGCCCAGACCCAAGAAAAGTATTGCTGATCTATTCTAAACTTTTTAAAAAGGGCTTGATTAATGATTTTTAGAGAGAGGGGAGGAGAAGGAGAAAGAAGGGGAGAGCAACATTGATGTGTGGTTGCCTCTCACGCACCCTGTGGTGGGGATCTGGCCCTGCAACCCAGCAATGTGCCCTGGCTGGGAATCAATCCAGTGACCCTTTGGTTTGCAGGAGGGCACTAAATCCACTGATCTCAATCCAAAGAACTACAGCCAGGGCCTATTCTACCCTTTTTATAATTTAGGTGAGTAATTTGTCTAAAGCCCCAGATCTGAGCTGAAGGTCAAGTTTAACTTTCTTAATTCTGTATCCAATCCTTTTTCTACCACACCTCTGTTTGGCACATACATTCCCGAGGGCGGGTGGGGGGGAACACCTGGAAATCAGAGTTGAGTGCAAAATGAATGAGTTCGAAACATATGTCTACTGGAGAAAAAGAAAAGTGTAAATTTGGCATTTGCTGATGAGAGGCCTGGTGGGATGGTGCGTAGAAAGAGCTTGCTTTACATGAGCAGTGCGACCTTGAGCGAGTCACTCCCTTTCTCTTGAACCTGGATCCTTGAAGGTCTGTTCAGAAAATAAAAATATGGATAATAATACCTTCCATAACTACTTCACAGAGGTTTTATAACAAGCAAAAGAGATCATGGTGTAATTTTAAAAGTACATTGTAGGAGATGTGTGTTAGCAGTAGACAGCACACCAGTGTGTCAGGGAAGGGAAGGCAGCCCAGGCTGCCGTGTTGGACACTGGTGAGGCCGGCATCTAAATAGGGAAGCCGCCTGGGGTAGGGTGTTCCCCTCACCTTCCTGGAGGGGCCACCTGACCTTGGGATGTCAGCATGGGTGGGGGAGGGGGGAAGAGTGCAGCCTGGAAGAGGAGGGGGCAGCAGTGCTGAGAAGAGATTGGTTACATTCAAGAGAATTACTCCATTATGTAAATATACAGTAGTACCCCCTCAACCCTTGTTCCGTGGTTTCACTCGCCACAGTTTCAGTCACCTGCAGTCAACCTTGACCTGAACATATTAAATTTAACATTCCAGAAATAAACAGTTCCTAAGTTTGAAATTGCACACCATTCTGAGTAGTGTGAAGACTCTCACCCATTTGCCCCATCCAACCCAGGTCAGGAGGCATCCCTTGCCCAGCATCTTCACACCATATATATATAACCCACCCGTGGTCACTTGGTACCATCTTGGTTGTCAAATAGACTGTCCTTATGTCACAGTGCTTGTGTTCAAGTAACCCTTAATCACTCAATAATGGCCCTAAAGCTCAAGAGTAGTGATCTGGAAATGTGGATGTGCTAAAGAGAAGCCATAAACTTTATCGTAGATATGTATGTATAGAGGGAAGAAAACATAGTATGCTTAGGGTCCCATACTGTCCCTGGTTTCAGGCATCTACTGGGGGGCTTGGAACATATCCCCACAGATAAGGGGGGACTACTGTGCTAAGGAAAACAGGAACCAGATTTCTCACTGTGGAGGAAGAGTGTCACAAGTCTGGAAGGGTAACTGGAATGAACCTTTTGGTGGTGGATCAGTCATGGGGGTGACAATATTTCTAGTTATAGAAGAGTTGTAGATGTGTAAGTATGTACATACTCTGTCCACTGAGAGAAAGTCTGAGAGTAGTGACCCCACAAAACGGTAAGTACATTTAGCCCAGATCGTGACTTCTAAATACCATTCTCTTCTTCAGTGTTTCTTCTTGGCCAAATGGTTGATTCCAGGACTGGAGGGAAGGAAGCACAGGATGAGCCTGGAGCCTCTAGTTACGCCGGAAGATAAGGACTCGCCCCAAGAACAATGAAGCATGTCAAAAGGACATAGGCCAACTTGCATCCCACTAACCAAATCTGATACATATTGAGCTTCAAAGTAAAAAAAAGTGATAATAATATAACTCATAGAGTAACACAGGAAACCATACAGATATAACTAAACAAAAATTGAAAGTTTGAAAAGGACTGGAATATTGATGTAGTTTCTAAGTATCACCCACAAAATTCGTATTAACTACACCCAGAATTAGTCATTCTGTAGTGCAGTCTGGCAGACACCGTCTTGATCAACTGATCAAGTGCCATTGGTAATGGGACAACTGACATCATGCACCACCTGGTAGAATCCATTAAGAAAAATACTAGCATCACTCCTGTGTATTTCTGCCTGTTCTACTTAACTGAATCTTCAGCTTGGAAATGCAGCTATTTTTAAAGGTACTTTAAGAAATCAGCAAGAAGAGAAATGGTGTAAGGAATACAAATCTGTAAGGGAAGGTTAAGGAAATTGCAAACACAAAGATTTGACCGTGAGAAGAAAGGGATGACGGCTAGGATTCTGAATAACGCCAAAATCCTGGTGACAGGCTTCATGTATAGTAATCAAAGCAGATACTTGGATTCTATAATCTATCTCTGTGACAGCTAACCAACTGTTGAGTGTTAGTTTTCACACTCTAATGGGGACGATAAGCATAACTCACAGCGTTGGTTGGTGCATTAAACGAGACAGCAAAGTGCTGGCCACAATTCTCAATGGCCCATATAGCTGTTAACTATAATCACGAATAATTGTCTATCTGTTTAATAATAATACAAATGGCTGAAGAGCCTCTGGAGTGTTAGGGAAAAAGACTAGGAGAGTCTTATCCCCCTGAAAAAGAAGGGAGAGCATTTCAGAGAGAAAATTTCTCAAAGAAACACACCCAGTTCCATGCCAGGGTGACTATGGGACTGCCTCCGCCTTCCTTCTTTGCAGGTAATCCAGTGCCTGCAGATCTTCCTTCATTTGTATCTCACATCTAAGCTGCTGTTTGTTTATTTGTTTGTTTGTTTGTTAACATTCCACTTGTTCTTAAACCCCATTTCTCTGAAATGGAATGTGTGCTCCAACAAAAACATTCTGTTTCCTGCTACTACCAGTCTTTACCTATCTCTATGACCATGTCTGCTAGTTTCTTCCTCAGTATTCCCTCTCCTTCCTTTTCCTTCAGAACTCTGGTGTGTGCGTGTGTGTGTGTGTGCGTGTGTGCGTGTGTGCGTGTGATATACACAGAGACTCTCCTAGACGTTCCCAGCTCTGTGCCTCCACCCCTCCAGCCCTTATCTAATGAGAGATGTGGCTCATGGGTGTGTGCCACTTGGGTGTTGCTCGTGGGCAGCGTGGAAGCAGAAAAAAGTTGATGGCCACTGAGAAACACAGCAGACAAATTCCAACAGAGGGGAATTCTACCAAGTACCTGACCAGTACTCCTTACAACTCTCAAGGTCATGTCAAGTAAGGAAAGCCTGAGCTACTGCCACGGCCAAGAGGAGCCTCAGGAGACCTGACAACCGATTGTAATCTGGTGTCCTGCATGAGATCCTAAAACAGAAAACGGACATTGGGTTAAAACTAAGGAATTCTGAATGAACCATGAACTTTAGCTAATCATAAGGTCTCAATAGCAATCCATTGATTTTAACAAATGTATCAGATAAGTGTAGGATGTTAATAATAGGGGAAATTGGTTACATGCATAAGGAAACCCTGTACTATCTTCTCAATTTTTCTGTAAGTTTTCATCTGTTCTAAAAAAATACAGTATTTAAAATTAAACTACAAAAAACTTATCTTTCAAGGACCTAGAGCTTGAGGTATGACATAATCATAAATGGTTTAAATTTGTATGTTATTTTGATCTATCAAAAGACAATTGTGTGCATTAACTACAAAGTCTCCATGTTTCGACCATAAACTCGGTTACCGAAAATAGGTATGCAGAGCACTCGATTGTGGTTTCCCATTCTGAGCTCTGTTGTACTGAGATGCAGTTTGGGAAGATATTCATGGTGTGGAGCACA